ATAAGCATGTTCTCTGGGGTGAAAATATCTTGGTAGAATCACAGTGTCAACCTGTAATTGCTCTGATTTTACATTAGCAACATTTTCTGTCCTTTTTCTGCACTAAAATATGTGGGAAGGAGTCCCTGTGGTACATTATTATCATGTGAATTAAATGTGTTAATGAAGGAAAGGGTTTGCAATAGTATTGGGTTCATTCTGCACACAAGATGTTACCTTAGAATAAAAAAGAATCAAATGTCAATATATTCCCATAGCTATACTTAACAACTAAATATTTTTGCTCATATTCTGTATATTTTTACCCATGAAAAGAAACATATCACTAATTATAAAAAATGCCACTCATGAAAATAAAAACAATTTTTCAGTCAATTTAGCTAAATATCAACATTGATTATTCAACCATTAGTCCAGTAGAGCATCATGGGTAGAAGGAACTCGACCAGTGTACCTAGCTTCATCCTCATGGGGCTGATGGACTCTGAAGAGACACAGCTGGTCCTTTTCTTGCTCTTTCTCCTGATTTACCTGATCACAGTGCTAGGGAATGTGGGGATGATACTGTTTATTGGCCTGGATCTCCAGCTTCACACCCCCATGTACTTTTTTCTCACTCACTTGTCATTTCTCGACCTCAGCTACTCAAATGTCATCACCCCTAAAACCTTACAGAACTTACTGACTTCCACCAAGAGCATCTCATTCCTGGGCTGCTTCACCCAGATGTACTTTTTTGTTATCTTTGTTGCTGCCGAATGTTTGCTTCTCTCCTCCATGGCCTATGATCGCTATGTAGCTATCTGCAATCCCCTGCACTATCCAGTCATTATGTCCACAAGACTGTGCTGTGCCCTGCTCACTGGGTCCTATGTGATTGGCTTTGTGGGTTCCACTGTCAATGTGGTTTTCATGAGCAAACTGCATTTCTGCAAGTCTAATGTCATCCAGCACTTTTTCTGTGACATATCCCCAATTTTAGCCCTGTCCTGCAGTGACACATTTGAGGTTGAACTCATTGTATATATTTGTGGTGGATCCAATTTAGTGGCGTCCTTCATTATCATATCTGGATCCTATATGTCCATCCTCTCCACTATTCTAAAAATTAATTCCACTGCTGGAAAGAAGAAAGCCTTCTCCACCTGTGCCTCTCATCTCCTGGGAGTCATCATCTTCTACAGCACTATGATATTTACTTATCTGAAACCAAAGACGTCCTACTCCTTGGGAAGGGATCAGGTGGCTTCTGTGTTTTACACGATTGTGATCCCTATGCTGAACCCTCTCATTTATAGTCTCAGAAATAAGGAGGTGAAAAATGCTGCTGTTAGAATCCTGCAGAAGAGAGATACCTGCAGGAAACTAAAATAACAATGATGCTAGGCATTTAAACTTGTCCACTTGTTTTTGTTTTTTCTTTTTTCTGGGAAATTCTTTGTTCTCTTATGTAAATAGCTGATATTTTATCCTCTCCACTTGCCCTTGACTTAATCATAGACATTTCAAAGGACATTTTTTTTCAAATTCACCTTGGAATTTTCACTCTAGTTCAACTGTTAAATCTATCATGTAATAAACCTGTGATTTAAAGGCAATTATTGTGCAAAACAAGAAATTATTGTAATTTTAAAACTATATTATATAGTATCTGTGCATACTACAATGATAGAGAATTTTAGAATGAAAAAGCACTACATGTTCCAGAAATCATTCTGTTTATAGAGATTAACAGCAGCAAGATTTAGAGCATTAGATTTCAAATCAAGATTATATCATTTAGATTCTAGATCTGGTACATTTCAACCTCCATGAATTCACTGCACTGCAGAGGTCCAGTATTCCTACCTACACAGGGGATGCAGTAATTCCATGTCCTTCTAAGAAGAGTGTGGATGTAAAACTTTTCAGACACTAGCAATAAATACTGGTGAATATGGTCGGAGGAACTACAGTCCTATAATATTTCAATATACAATACATATTTCTGAAAAGTATTCCTTATTTTACCAATCTATAACACAAATTAATTTAGGAACAAACAGCAAAAAGAAAAAATAAGGCAGTAATTCTTGATTTTGAATTATAAGTAAAGTAATATA